AAGTAGGATTTGGACGGATTGACTGACCATTATCAGTTAGTGTAACTTTAGATCTATAGTGGTCATGTAGAAAGACGTTTCTTTCTCCCACCTCTGCTCATGTAGGATAGACATGTCCCATGTGGAACACCCATGGAGGATAAATCTATCCCACATGACTGCACTCGGTGACCTCAGTCGGCTATCACAACTGACTCAAACCGACGAGTGGATGCTTTGTTTGCAGGTTCCGTATTGCGCGACTGTAACATCACAGTTAACATTAACTATAACAATCCTTGTCCAGTGAAAACAAGTAAACGTCGGAGGATCATCTATGACTCTGATTCTGAATGAACACACGCGTGACACTCACACCATTGCAATTTTTCGCGCGCATAAACAATTGACGTCATTATAAACTGACATCGCGGCAAGCCTACCCTACCTTAATAAATGATAGGGGAGTTAAATGTTGTTCAATACAAGTATTTCCATGTATCTATCGCTAATTGAAATATTTAATTTCCAAAAAATAAATATTTCTAATGGTTATTCATATTGCGTTTGTAGTTTGTCATTTTGCTCTCGCGGAAGAATGTAGAATTTTGGAAACGTGAATGGTGATATTCATGCGCCATTCAGACACTTGTACCGTGGGATTTTTTTTTACGTCGTGGCGGAAATAATGGAGTGCGAGAAAAATAATCAACCCCTACCCTCAGAGGATGAGACAGAGAAATCTCCAACCCTCGGGGTGATTTTTTTGTAGTCTAACCCTCGTCAGAGCCTCGGGTTAGACAACAACAAAAATCACCCCCCGGGTTGGAGATTTCCCTATCACACCCTCAGGGTAGGGGAAGATTCTATTAATTCCGATTCGCTTTAGTTGCTACCACGTGGTTAGGTTATAAAATCGCAGAAAATATTGACATATTGTCAATATTCAGGAATGTGTGTCGCTGGCAACACGAGCTCCCATCTACCGTATGCTGTACGTACATGTATTTGTTGAAACTCTTACATAAGGTGACCCGCGATTATTGATCAAGTGCTAGAATATGCTGACCTCTTGAACCCTCGTCAATATCGACAACTTTTGCCAGCGTTATTTCGCTTTGTTTATTTCTTAAATTCTTTTTATTTCCACCATTAGTTTGATCGGGTTTCTTTGGAAACCGCCAAATAGGACGACTGATCTACTTCCTGTTCGTTACAAAAACTGAACGACATAATGGCAATATTTTTATGTTTTTATGAACGTATGTGGTATTTTCCAAATGAATTTTAATCAAGAGGCCCAATGGACCTGAATAGTTCACCTGTCCCCCAATGTTGTCAGCAAGCACAATATATAATTCCAATCTACAAAATGGGCCAAGGTCGAATTTATCTGACACTTGTCACTGTCATTCATTTTGACAAACTTCTTACTCCTTCTCCGCTTGCTCCAAACTTGTATCAATTCACTGGATCGCTTGGTTATTGAGAAGTGTCTTCTTAATATTTAGCACTTTTGACCTCAGTGACCTTTAAAATCTATCAAGGGCATTCATTTGAAGAAATTGATGGCATTTCACCCCAGTGTGTTACCGGTCGAATACCAGTATCCTAGGCCTCATGGTTATGGAGAAGAATTTTCCTGACGGACGCCACAACATAGTATAAGCTCAAAATTAGTCTGGACTATGTCATTGATCACTGTGGCGGATTGTGTGTGTGTACTGAAAATGTGGTGAATTCTTTATTAATTATATATATTCTGAAATAGTTCGCTTGCAGTCGTTGCATACAACGTCATTTACTACCAAAGAAACTATTCTTCAAAAATCTGAAAGAAAGAAATTTGTTGATTAAGCTGTTCGTGTGTATTGTATATATACAAAAGGTAAGGGTCACCTGCCCGACCACGTGGGTTTTCCCCGGGTACTCCGGTTTCCTCCCACAATAAGATCCCTCGCGCGCTTACATCCGGGCCAACAAGAGTGATTAGTATAAGTTGAAATAACTTGTTTCGCAATTGTTGATAAATAAATAAAGTTTAAAGTATATATATATTGTTTATATCTGTATCGGCGATAGTATACATTAATACACTGACGCGTAGGCTAAGCAATGTTGGTATTGTTTGAGAAAAGCTTTTCGCGTTTAAGAGATTATACCAACTGAAGAGAATATGCTTGATGAAATCACCTATAGAGTAGAAAGTATTGATCTGATTATATAACATTTGACAAAACACGAAAAGAGCATTAAAATCAAGCCTTCGTGAAAGGAAAGGAGTCCCCCCTTGTGTAAACTGATTGGGGATCAAACTCGTTAGATACGTCGGAGAAAATTCAATTTCTCTGCGACTACAGAGTTAAAGTCTGTTTCATTTAAAAGCTTGGATTAATCTTTTCGGAACAGATGAATGGCAAAATGATAAAAACGTTTGCACCTCTACTTAATACAATGTAAAACTATTCCGTGCTCACGTTTTGGTATTATATATTTGCACGTTCAAGTACGAAATAGATTGAACTCTCAACATTCCAATCTATTTCATCCAAATGGTTTTTTTATGTTTAAAGCCGAGATGCGCAATGTATTTTAGAGATGCACTTAAAAGCACTTCGTTTCAATGATTTTTGAAAGACAAAACGCATTTAGTTGTGATATGAAGAAACGCCTGGTTTTTATTTGATTTATTTTTTTATTTTCTTGGTTGAAATGAAATAATATTAATTGATTTATTGATTTTCACCTCAACTCACAACCCTAATGCAATATTCATGCTTTAGTTTGCTATGCCTTTCAATAAAACACAAGCTCAGCAATTTATCATGTCGATAAATTTGCTAGCACTAGAACTTCCCTCCAGGTGTTACAACTGCCTCTGGGATCATTCCAATACTATGATATGTCGGTACGTTTTGTAAAACATCGATGTCTTTTTGCTGTTTGTGTTAAAATGTAATTTTATAAAACATGTGATTTCTTTCTTACTCACAAACAAAACAATCGAGATCTCATCTCATCAATATTTAAGAAGATCTGGAATGTTAACAAGCTATGTTATTGCGAAATCCAGAAGATATTAAGACAAAACCCGATAAACAGATACACATCAACAATTTAAACATATGATGCAGAATCGAGCACTGAACTTGATTAATGACATCTCGACTCAACCCTCTGTAATTCCGAGTAAAATTTGAAGAAAACGATAGGATATTCATCGATCTCAAATTGGTAAACAAACACGATAAATAAGGAAAACAATAGCCACGACTGTTTCTATCTTTTCTACCTTTATGAGCAATTTTACAAACGGAGAGTTAAGTAAGGCATGAGACTGACCGGAAAGTCCGCTTTCCGATAACAGGTACTACAAAGATAAATTAGCTACCTCATCTCAAAATTGGAGAGGGGGGGGGGGGATGGAGGAGAAATGAAAAGGAAGGGCAAACATTTAATCTGTTTTTCTTTCTTACTCTTCTCAATTTCATTTACACGAAAGTTAATGGTATCATAAAAAAATATAAGTCATTATGAAATAGTTTGTGTGCATGTCACAAGCAAATCGATAATTTAGTTTTCGAACGGCGTATTCGACATGAAGAGGTCCTATTAGAGATAAAACAACAGAGCGTTCATTTCAGCTTAGTAAACAGTGACGTTCAAAGTGGATGAAATGACATTTAAAGAAATGTCATTGCTACAATCTTCGTCCTAACTAACCACTAAATCGGCCAGGTTCCTTGCAAATATACATGTACGGGTCGCGTGAAAATTCCCAGTTAATGTATTTCCAAATATGGCAATTTTTAAGAAGAAAAGAAAGAAGAGAGATAGAGAAATGATTCGTTTTAGTTTGTTTAAAAACAAAATTAGAAGAACAAAATATGTGAGACAGCCAGAGTGACCAGTTAGTTAAAGGTTCAAATACAAAGTTAATGCGATAAACCGCTGCAAAGGTAACAATGAACAAACTTCAAAAGTCAACAAACAAATTAATATCGTTTTGATCTTATGTTTATTTCGTACGTTGTCCGTATGATGAACTTTTTCGAAGGAAGTTGTTCTACTTCCGGGTTAACGTGCTAATAAACAACGCCAAAGTCAAAAGAGTGAACAAGAACCAACAACACCTGACAGACGTTCCACATTGCATACGATTACAAGTGTTTATGAAACATTTTCTTCAGGTTGGCAAGTTTTTTTTTATGTCAGCAGCAACAGTAGTTCAGAATCAATGCATTTTAAGTGTAAAAAAACAGCAGATGTTAAATGTTCAGAAAACGGACGTTCATCGGTTAAACAAGGGGAGGAAACCTTTGACCACCCAACGTAACAATTGGAAGTAAATTAACAGGCGTAGTACTTCGTTTACGTTTGCCGATCGAGTTCAGGCATTGCATTTCAAATAAATATCCACCAGAAAACTAATTGATGTTTTAACATGTCTATATACGGAGTTGGATATAATTAAGTACGTCACTGAAGAGTCAATGTGAATTCAGAGCCTCATTGAAAATAATGCGGGAGACACGACGCATTCTATCAAGAGCAAAGAAGTAATGTCTAACCCGAGGGCAAAACCCTGGCATCACGCGACGGTCCAAACACACATTTTGCGTGACAATATATGAGGTCTTCCTAGTTCGAAACACATGTTTTTTTTTCTAACATGAATCTAATTTAAGTCCTCAATAGGACACCGAAGCGTTTTTACGAAAGCCATCAATAGTGGTGGAGGATAAGAGATCTTAACATGATTAATAATTGATGAATCAATAAATGATCAGAATATATAAAGTAAATATGATTCTTTTCTTTTTATAGTGTTTATATGTCACAGTTTAACTTTTATTCACTTGGTGAGCAGAGCATCTATTCTAACAAAAACAAGTTTAAATGTTTGTGCCATATATTCGACTCATTCGGAGAATGCAAACATCTAGCTCGATGAAATTATCTGGATTTAGGATTTTTTCTGTGAATATTTCAAAAAATAATAATAAATCAAGGTTACTTACGTGCTAAACAATCCTCCTCCCCGGCAAACACAAAGTAGACCATGATTAGAACTGCAAAGAACATAGGAAAGGTTTGTCAGTGCATTAAACAATTAGTATAATCAACATTCCAAATATGGGGTGTGACAAATTACACATCCGGTGTACGTATGCACGTGAAAGCCATGTCCTTTATCGGAACAAGTCAGACTATATCCAGGATATTACAAAGACAACTATATTGGCTTCAGAAACAGCACGTGTAGTTCGATGAGTCCTCCGCACAAAACTGCCAAACACTACAAGTCTTCACAAGGTTTGTAATCTAATGTAATATCTCTTTGATTTATGTAATCAATAATGATTGCGCGTGACAATGGTCGTCAGTAGGTGCAAATCAATCTCAATATAACATATTATATTCACTATCCGATGAAAAAGAAATCTGCTGTCACTTGTACGTTTTCAACTGTTTATAACGACCAGCTATACACACGCGTGACCGTCTCCACAGGAAATTCAACGGACGGACAGACAGGCGTAGTCTTGTTGCTTGTCCGCCAATACTGCGCTCCCTGACGTAATTAATAAGACAAAGTTGATGAACCCCTATAGTGTGATGATGTCGGGTACACACTGTCCGTGCCGACAGTTTGCCAGTATCATATCAGACCTCTACGGTAGTGTGTGAACAGTTCACAAAATCGATATCACAACACAGAGGTTACGTTGGAATACTAGGTTTTACGACAAAACATACCACACACATATATACACAATATGTCTCTGTCAGAGAACTCGGTCACGAGAAAAAACCATCGTCTACTAACTTTGTCTCGTAAATTGCTTAATCACATTGTAACAGTGTCTAACCGCTACATGTTTCGTACACACTCCGTCTGGGACAATCTTTTATTTACTTATCTAGTATCTATTTTGCTTTCTAGTCTTTATGTCTATTAGCTACTAGGTCTTTGAATTAGTTATCTGTTTTCGATAGTTACTTGATTAAATGATATAAGATCATTAGTCAGTTAATTTCAAATTGACCCAGTTTTAAAGGCATGGTCGGCTTTTGTGCCAATATAAGCGACCACGACCGAATTATTGTAACTCTGGAACAGAAATAATTTATCGTGGTAATACTGTCTCTTAGTAACAAATACGTTAGTAACATTGTTGTATAGTTAGGTAACAATGTTTGTTTTAGTAACACTGTCTCACTTGTGTCCAGTCCACTTTGTAATCTATGCAACTCAGAAAGAGAATCGATCACTCATCTCCTTTGGGAATGTCAGGAAGTGCAAAACTTTTTACAATCATTTGAAACACTAACAGATTCTTTATTAATACCATTCTCAGTCAACAAACGGTCTTTTATACTTGGAATTAAAAGGAACAATAGCCCTAGCTTTAGAGTTGACAATGAAGTAATTCTTATGATTAAACATTATATATATATAACAAGATGCCTCCATGCTACTCTCAATATCAACGCCATTGTAAAGATTATACAAAATCACTATTCTGTTCAAAAATATATTTCAAATAGCAAAAACACGTCTTACAAACAAAATTTCACAAATGATTGGAAAAAATGGGAAAATCTTATCCAGTTGAATATTTAAATAATTATAATACTTTTTATCCTTGACAGTGCTGTCATATCTTTGTTTCACTGTCTTTAGCTAAAAATTTGTTTCAACATCCCATGGACTTCTTATGTCATTCCCCCCTCCCCATCCCCTATCTTCCTATTTCTGTTTTCATCGCTTTGTCTGTTTCTTTAATTGTAGAGAATGATTCAGTGAGAGAGAGCAATCTATGTATAATGTTAATTATTGATATTTCCTCTATGCTATCATTTAGTCTGGCTGTACTATGCTCTGTGTAATCTTTGACAACAAGGGCAGATAACAAAGAATCATCACCAGCTATTCACACCTCAATTATTTTTTTATGTTTTTTTTTAACGTGAATTACACTTTGTATCAAACAAGCAGAAGTTGCAACATGGAAAGGCTGTTATGTGGGGCGTATCTCGCTACTCCCAATCCATGCTTGCACTTCTGGTTTGGGATTACACTATTGAAAACATATAATTTTGAATAAAGTTTGGGGATTAGGTGTGAATAGATGATGATGAGGCAAAACACTAATAATAATAAACAGCTCTGTTGTTGATCAGTGTATGATGTGATAATGAGGATGAAAGGTTGATGATGAAGTGGTGATGATGATATGATGATTACAATGCTGAATATGTGTTACTGCTGATGATGATATGATAGTGATGATGATGATGATGATGGATGATGATGATGATGATGATGATGATGATGATATGGTGATGATCATGATAATGAAGTGATGATGATACGATGATCATGATGATAACTATGTGATGATGATGACGATGGTGATGATGATGATGATGATGATGATGATGATGATGATGATGATGATGATGATGATGATGATGATGATGATGATGATGATGATGACAGCAGTCATTGAGTTTGTATTATTATTGGGGCGTGTGAATGAAACACAGTAGTACATTGTATGTCATGTCAGCAAAGAGGAAAGAGTAGGAAATAATGAGTGCATGTTTTGAGTGAGTGTACATGGGTGTAGTGTGATGTGTGCTAGGGTGTGTATGTGTATGTGAGTCTAGTATATATCGTGTGTTGCATACCTTTGTAAAATCTTGAAAAACAAAATAAATAAAAAAAAAAAAAAAACACTGTCTCTTAGTAACAAATACGTTAGTAACATTGTTGTATAGTTAGGTAACAATGTTTATTAGTAACACTGTCTCTTAGTAATAAATATCTTAGAAACATTGTTGTATCTAGATAACAATGTTTGTTTTCGTAACACTGTCTCTAAGTAACAAATATCTTAGTAACATTGTTGTATCTAGATAACAATGTTTGTTTTCGTAACACTGTCTCTAAGTAACAAATATCTTAGTAACATTGTTGTATCTAGATAACAATGTTTGTTTTAGTAACACGGTCTCTTAGTAACAAATACGTTAGTAACATTGTTGTATAGTTAGGTAACAATGTTTGTATTAGTAATAATGTCTTAGTAACATTGTATCTTAGTTATTCCGTACCTAACATATTACATAACCATGCTATTCTAACGTAAACTTGTACATTACGTAAACAGGGACGTCTGGTGTGGATGTACATACGTAAACAGGGACGTCTGGTGTGGATGTACATCACGTAAACAGGGACGTCTGGTGTGGATGTACATACGTAAACAGGGACGTCTGGTGTGGATGTACATACGTAAACAGGGACGTCTGGTGTGGATGTACATCACGTAAACAGGGACGTCTGGTGTGGATGTACATCACGTAAACAGGGACGTCTGGTGTGGATGTACATACGTAAACAGGGACGTCTGGTGTGGATGTACATACGTAAACAGGGACGTCTGGTGTGGATGTACATCACGTAAACAGGGACGTCTGGTGTGGATGTACATACGTAAACAGGGACGTCTGGTGTGGATGTACATACGTAAACAGGGACGTCTGGTGTGGATGTACATACGTAAACAGGGACGTCTGGTGTGGATGTACATACGTAAACAGGGACGTCTGGTGTGGATGTACATACGTAAACAGGGACGTCTGGTGTGGATGTACATACGTAAACAGGGACGTCTGGTGTGGATGTACATCACGTAAACAGGGACGTCTGGTGTGGATGTACATCACGTAAACAGGGACGTCTGGTGTGGTCTATATCTTACTTTCTTGACGGATATTATTATTTTGTTAAAATGTTAATGAGACAATGTCAGTCAACATCAACAAATCCTCAAGCATAGGAGGAGACTGGTCATCCATATATATATATCATATTCTGTCGTCCGAAACTATTTGGAAGCATGACGCTTTTACAAACATTCTAGTTGCACTTTTTCCCTGTCTATCCTGTGCTACCGGTGACTGCCCTTTGAAGCAGTCGAATAATTCCAAACTGTTCCGAATATGTTAGCAATCCGTTTCGTAATTTAGTTGTTTCTATATCCGGAGCAGGCCAGTCGTCTTTAAGTATTCCCGAGGAGTGGTCTTTGCTGTATTAGGTCGACGAGGGTCAGACATCGACTTTCTGACATGAATATCCCTACAATATATGTACGACTGTATCTGAAGATCATCCTTGTAGTCGACAAATACAGACATCCCTCATCACGATCGTAGTCATGAACTAGCAGGGTGATCGAGTGGGTTTCATCTCCAATTGATCTTTCTGATAGAAAATAACAAAATCTAATTCCGCTTTGTCAAGTTTTTATTTTCTGTTGTACTAGATAAATGAAGCTTTGCTTTTAGTCGGGTAAGATTTTCTTTGTCATACCCCAGGGGATACGTGGGTAAACCTTACTCTGGACAATGGTATGACTGCATAGCTTTGTAATGAAAACAGCTGCACGCGTAAATTAGCACAAAAAAACTGGTAAGATAAAGTAACTATCGGGACCTTTTGAGGGTACGACAAGGTGATCTCAACCTCGTGAAAAGATTAATAAGTTCGCAAAAACTCGGCAAACCTAGTGTTCGGTAACTGTCCCTTCGGGTTGAGGTAATCCAATTCTCTAGGCGGTGAACAGCTACTTTTATTAATCTTTTTATAAGTTCAAATTTCTTTGCGTCAAACAAATTCAAACAAAACATCATAGTTGTTGTGTTAAGCTGTAAACTTTGGCGTAACATTGTAGGTGAAAGATGGTTGACAAGCTGTCTGACTTAAGGCATGTACATTACGACATCCGGGCATCAAATCGAACCGTTTTATTTGTAGAATGGACGCTCAAAGTTCTTTGGAGGATATGAAATATTGGTTCTGCATTCAAGACATATTTTCAGAATTATATTTATCGGAAGTGGTTATTTATTCAATTAAGTTTCAGAGGATGACTAAAAAAACACGTCTATTCATAGAGTGTACTTTCCTGATTTCGATAACGAAGTGTCTACACGCAAACGTGAAGCGGCGTTTGTTCTGTTTAATGGTCCAGAGCTAATGTTATACTAATGTTTGTAT